CAAGAAAAATTTCGTAACCAAACATCAGCAGAACCTCATTTTTACTTCAAACATTCAAACTTACAGAGCCAGCCACATTACTTCGAAACTGAGGTGCGGGAGGAACACTGGCTACCCCAGTATGAAACGAAGAGACACCTTAAAAAATAACCGTCAAAAACTTTAAAATTTTTAATTCCATGCATCAAATACAAATTTAAGAAATAACCCTTTTTGGCAAATTAATTGGGTTAGGTGAACTTCATGAGATCATGCAGGAATAGATACTTAATCAAATATGTCTAGGAGAATGTTATTAAGGAAAAGAACTTCAAAGGAAAAAAGAAAAGCATTCAGCTAGCAGTTTAAAACCTAGGATATAACAAAAAGATTATTTTACTTTTTCAGGAGCTCTCTTAAAACCTTTTTCAAAACACTAAATTCTTCTACAGTTTATTTGTCTACATTCTACTATTAACTACATATTGACCAACTATATCAAAGGATTTCTTTAATACCATCCAAAACAATCTGAAAAAAGGTATAAACTCTTATATAATCACTTAAATGATGAGGAGAAGGAAGCTTTGCTACAAGGAACAACAGTAATGGCATATTTTTGAGAACCATGTAGAAAAACCTCGTGGGGGAAAACTGGATTAGACTTCCACAACAGTTATAGAAATATGAACCGCTAAAAAAATTGCACTACACACCTGTCTTCCGCTTCTGCTTCTAAAAGTAAAAAACGAAATACCTTGTGAACCGGGAGAGGTAAAACCATTTTTATTCTCGCGGGAAGCTGAGGCCGGAATAGTTCCCAGAACTGAATTTTGTACAGAGCCACTACTGAAAACTCATTGCGCACGATGAAAACACCTTTCAAGAAACAAGAATACTTTTAAAAAAAGCTGTTTTTTAACCTACAATTTCGAACGAAAACCAACTGTCGAACACAGACCCTTAAAGACAAAAACTAACCATAAAAGCAGAAAAAATCTAAAGGGTAAAATTAACTTTTTGGAAATCTCTAAATTTACTTCTTCAGGCTTGCAGGCTGAGCTACACTTGACAGCTGATTTTGAGATTCGAAAGAGCAACCAGCCACAGGAGCCTGGAACCCGCCATAGGGAAGGAAACCCGACATTCACCTGCCTCAGTTTCTAAATCGTCAGTTAAAACTTCATGAAACTTAACGGCAAAAATAGAATACTTTCGCAGTAACATGTAGCATAGGAATTTATTCTCAAAAAACGAAGGTCCATCAGTGAACAACTTGAGAGCAATCACCAAAAAAATCTAGGGGTAGGAGACACCAACTAAGGTCAAAAAAGTGTTGAATTATTGAGACAGTGATCGAAAAGTTTTCAAATTAATTACATCCAATAAATCATACGCTTATGCATCAGCATTTAGCCTCAGAGTACGTCTAACCATGCTAAGGTAAGATTACAATAGACTTCGTAATAAAGGAAATTTCTGTATGATCAAACGATGGTATACAATACCTAGAAGGCACGTTAAGCGAAGTAAACGTGGTTTATAAAAGGTTGACATTTGGAAAAGACGATGTCAATTTTCAAAAAAAAAAAAAAAAAAAAAAAAAAAAAAAA